GTACTATGTTGAATAAAAGTGGGCACCCTTGTCTTGTTCCTGATATTAAAGATTCCAGTCTTTTACCATTGAGTATGATGTTAGCTGAGGGTTTTTCACATATGGCCTTTGTCATGTTGAGGAAGTTTCTTTCTATTCCTAGTTTACTGAGTGTTTTGTGTTTTTGTTTTTTCAATCATAAAAGAGTATTGAATTTTGTCAAATGCTTTTTCTGCATCAATTGAGATGTTTATGTGGTTTTTATTTGTTCATTCTCTTTTGTGTATAACATATTGATTGATTTTCATATGTTGAACCATCTTTGCAGTCCCAGGATAAATCCCACTTGGTCATGGTGTATAATCCTTTTTAATAAGCTGATTCACAAGAGAGATTGGTCTGTAGTTTTCTTGTTAATGTCTTGTCTGACTTTGGGATCTGAGTAATGCTGTTCTCACATAATGAGTTAGGAGATTTGCCTCTTCAATTTTGGGGAAGAAAGTGAAAAGGTTTGATGTTAATTCTTCTTGAAATGTTTGGGAGAATTCATGAGTGAAGCCATCTTGTCCAGGGTGTTTCTTTGTTGGGAGGTTTTTGATTATTGATTCTAACTCCTTACTAGGTAGTTATAGGTTTATTTATACTTTCTATTTCTTCATGATTCAGTTTTGGTAGGTGGTTTATTTCTGGGAATTTGTCCATTTCATCTAGGTTATCCAATTTATTAGTACAAATTATTTATAGTACTCTCTTATAACCCTTTTTATTTCTGTAAAATCAATAGTGATGTTTCTACTTTCATTTCTGATTTTACTAATTTATTTCTGTACAATCAGTAGTGATGTTTCTACTTTGATTTCTGATATTACTTTTTTTCTCACTCTACCTAAATATTTGTCAGGTTTTTCAAGAACCAATTTTTGGCTTGATTTTTTTTCCTCTATTTTCTGTTCTTAATTTCATTTATCTCTGCTCTAATCTTTATTATTTCCTTTCTTCTGCCAGCTTTGGGTTTAGTTTGCTCTTCTTTTTCTACTTTCTTAAGGTGTAAAGTTGCGTTATTATTTGAGATTTTTTTTTTCTTTTTTAATGTGTGCATTTACAACTACATTTCCCTCTTAACACTGCTTTCACTGCATCTCCTAAGTTTTGGTATGTTGTGTGTGTTTTTATATACACATACTTTTGTTTATAAAATATACATTATATATAATTAATTTACATAAATGCATGCACACATATGCTTAGTTGGTAATGTGTACTTTTATACGTACATAATTACATGTAATTTTATAAACCACTGCTTTTAATTATCTTTGCATTTTCAAAACTACATAAAAATAACAAGGCCCAGAATTAAATAAACCACACACTATTATTAAGAGCTTACATTTTCCTCCAACAAGCTATTACTAAGAGTGGTAAAATAAGTTTAGTTTTACTTGTTCCTTGCTGCACTTTTGTGGGACTTACAAAAATGCTGTCTCCTCAGAAATACTTAATATGTGTGGTCTTATATTTCAGAGTACCAGTTATTCTCCATTCCACATCTCTCTTTTAGCATCAACCTCAGGTGTTACCTCCAGTTCCTGGCACCTCCAACTCCTTCCTCTATACATCTTTCCAAAAAAAAAGTGCTTCAAAAAAGTACTCACTTGAAACTAATTATTCTGGACTCTTTTTCTCTACCCGAACTTCTCACTCAATATATAGACGAATTAAAATGTGCAGCTGAGAAAAAAATGTGTATTTTGCTGTTGCTGAGTGGAGCGTTTTACATGAGTCTGTAAGACACAATTGGTTTGTCATTTATTCAAGTCCTCTGTTTCCTTGCAGATCTTCTCTCTGGTTCTTCTATCCATTATTGAAATTTATTGCAGAAATTTCTGTTTCTCCCTTTAAACCTGCCAATGTTTGCTTCATGTATTTGGGGGCTCTGATGTTGGGTGCATATATGAATTGCATGTTTTAAAACTTTATTTACACAAAGGTCTCATTCAGGTGATACCATCCTGTAAATTGCTTTTTATATTTTGAATATACTTTTAGGATTCATCCGTTTTGATGTGAAGGGCTATCTATGGTTCCTTCATTTTCACTGTTGTGTAGGGTTTCTTTGCTTGACTGTATTATAGCTTTTTCTATATCCTTTGTATTTCCATGTACATTTTAATGCTACAAATATTATAAACCCTATATTTTACTACTTTTACTTCAGTCAGTTATATTCTAAAAAGATTAAAATTAATGGCAAAATATATCATATTTACCTAAAATTGTATCATATGGTAGGATTACCAATGCC